TTTCACTTACCTCATCACCAGCTGGGCTCTGAAGGCCAATCAGTGCCAATCCCATAGGCCCAACCTGATTCTATAACTGACCTCTCCTTCTCACCCTGCCCTCCGCAGCCCTGGGGAATCCTGGAAAGGCGGCTCAGCCTGTGTGACAACATTGGCAAAGGTAAGGGAGCCAGGTACCATCGGGTAGAAACTCAGGGGCCTCTTCAAAACCTATTTTTGTTGACACCACTCACTCCATCCCTGTAGAAATCCCCTCAGATTTCTCACCTAGTGACCGAGTCTGACTAGGAAACCATTGGAGTTCAAACCCTCATTTGATGGTGGGGGCACCAGCGCAGGATCGGGCAGCCAGGTTCTCTGCTTACTGCCTGTGAGTTCCTTCGTGCCTAACAGGACAGCGGCATTTGGCCCAAAGGTAATGGAGAGGCAGGTGGAAATGACCCTCCCTTGCCACCCAGCCCCTTTCCTCCTCTGGGAGCCCCTGCCCACGTCCACATGCAACCCGCGCCCACTACTAGGGCCGCTGCTGAAGAGAAGATGCCAACTCCCTAGCCTTCAGCCCCAGCCTCCTCGGGAGAGGCTCCAGAAGGGACTGGGAGGGACACATGCTCCCTTCGTTTGTGAGCTCAGACGCTGGCTCTGCCACAATGAGAGAGACAAGAAATGAGTAGTAAAGGGGGGGAGGTGGGAAAATTAAATTTTGCGTGATCAGCAAGGTTTCAAACAATCGCTCGCCGACTGAAGTGGGTGCCATGTCTATAAGTCATTCTGTTTTATAGACCATTAGCATCTCCAGAGAGAGCCTGCACGGAGACCACTGCTTTTTGTTGAAATTAAAATGTCAGAGAAAAAGAAATAGAACAAAACAGGGAATCTGCAATTAATTACCAGGCCATAAAAATTCAATAATCAGGAGGCAGAGCGGCCACAAGCCCAGAGGTATCAGAGCCAACGTAACAAGAATGGAATACATTAATCTTTTCAAATTAGTTTTTTAATCTGACGGGGATAGATGGTGACATGCCTCTCCTGCCCAGTTCTCCGCGTGCGCCGCCCCCCCTCCCAGTCCACACAGCTCTGGTCTGGAGCCAGGCTGGAGGTGGGTAGCTGGAGTGAGCTGGGGGTCTGCCTGCCATGTAGACCCCAGTGAGGGCAGGGCAGATGAGACTGCAGCTCCAGTAGAGCCCAGGGCCCCATGCCAGCTTACCTGGGGGAGGGGCACAGCAGTGCTGGCAAGGCGAGCATCTGGAGGTCTGGTCCCAGGCTGGGTCACCGGCACAAAAGGGGCTCATGTGGAATCCTCTTTGGACTTGTGGGGTCAGCGCTCCCTCAGGAAAGCAGAACGCAGAGCAGCGCGGGGCAATAAGCATGGTGAGGAGGGGAACCTCCCGGAGCTTCAGTTCCCTCTTCTAAAACCCGAGAAGGACATCACCCTTTCCCAGGGACTTGAATGCATTGTAACCAGCAAGTGCTCAATAACAGAGTCACTGCCACCAAGTCCACTCTGACTCATAGAGACCAGACAGGACAGTATAACTGCCCCTGTGGGTTTCCAAGATTGTAATTCTTTGGGGGAGCTTCTTCTTTCTTGCACAGTGGCTAGTGGTCTCAAACTACTGATCTTGCAGTTAGGAGCCTGACACAGAACTACTGCGTCACTACTGCTCCCGTCACGGCCAGGGCCCAGGGCTGGGCAGTATGCTGTCCATTGTGCATGAGGCCCCGTGAACTGGCAGGAGGGGACTCCAGGGCAGCTAACTATAACTGTCACTCATTTGACGGCCACAGCCCGGCAGCTGGCAGCACAGCCAGGAAACTTCAGATAACGTTATTTTAGGACCTGCTGGGTACTGCGCTCTGGAGGAAGACAGATCCCTAGCCTCCGACCTTGTTCTGGGGAGTGGAACATGGCTCAATCAGCGGTTCTCAACCTGGGGGCACGGCCCCTTTGGGTGTCGAACGACCCTTGCACAGGGGTCACCCAATTCCTAACAGTAGCAAAATGACAGTGATGAAATAGCAACGAAAATAATGTTATGGTCGGGGGTCACCACCACATGAGGAACTGTTCTAAAGGGTCCCAGCATTAGGAAGGTTGAGAACCACTGCTCTGGGAGGTCACACGAGAAGGGGCGTCTTCTCAAACCGAGCCTGCAAACGGCTGGGACAAGTGTCTGAAGAGTCACAGCTCCTGTCTCCTGGAGCCTAACCCTCTCCTCGCAGGTCACTTCCCTTTTTAATGTAGCATTTACAGCCCACTACGTGCCAGGCCTGCCCCTTGTTGGATTTTCTCATATACACTAGGCCGAACCTGTGAGAGCAGGCCTATTAGCAACCCCATTTTGCAAATGAAGAAAGTGATGCTGGGTTGCCCCTCGTGTCTTTGCAACCTGATGTCTTCGGACCGGTCTGAGCGCGTCACCGAGCACGCAGCGTCTTTCAGAGGCTGACACCCAGGAGGCAATCCGTGCTCACCAGGCAGCGTCACCACCGGCCGGCCTCAAGATGACCACTCTAACCTGCGACGACAGCAGCGGCTGCCATTCACTGAACACCTCCTGTATGCCAATTGGGGGTGCGTTTACATTAAGGTGTGTGGTCTCCATTCAGACCACACCCATCTCCTTCTGGCATGGCCCGTCAAGCAGACCCACCCCGTACTCCTCAGCCCCACTCTTGCGTTGCCCCTCCACCCGATCCTCTCCTTCCAGCTGTTCTCCCAGTGCACCTCACCACGGAGCCCCAAATCTCATTCCCTCGAAAACCCTCCAGTAACTTGTATCACTTTCTACTGGTTACTTGGTTACAACTGAAGTCTGCCCCCGCCCCCGTCCACCTACGCCCCAGCAGCCTCCGGCGAAAAGGTGATGGTGGCGAGAAGGAAGAGGCAGGGCGAGGCACAGGGGCTCTGGAGAGCCCACTCTTCACTCAATACAGGGCGGGCGCCCCGACTTGGGCGCAGGTCCTCGGGTGGCCACCAGATGGGGATCTAGGCTTGCTCAAGATGACCCTGTAGTGCGGCCGCGCGGCCGCGCGATGGCACCCGAGTCCAGGGCTCCGCGCGCCGTGCCCGGACTGGGCGGAGCACAGATGGTCCTTGAGTCGGATCCAACAGGCTCAAGTGCACGTGACCTGGCCGCCTCTGCCTACTGCCCGCGCCATGAGCCAGCCTGTGCCTCGCTTCTCCATGCCCACCGCGCTGGCCCTGGGCTCAGCCGCACTGGGCGCTGCCTTCGCCACTGGCCTCTTCCTGGGTGAGTTGGGCCCGGCCTTCGGCACCCCCTGCAGAGCCCCCGGGGCGGGCGCCGTGGGAAGGCACTGGAGCAAAGCCCGCGAATTCCAGAGGCCCGGGCCTGACCCCGAACTGCCTCCCTCCGCCCTCCATCAGGGAGACGGTGCCCCTCGTGGCGGTCCCGACCGAAGAGCCTGCTGCCTCCGCCGGACAGCCCCCTGTGGCAGTACCTGCTGAGCCGCTCCATGCGGGAGCACCCAGCGCTGCGGAGCCTGCGGCTGGTCAGCAGGGCCCGGGCGGGGAAGGGGACCGGCCGGAGACCTGGCGGGCCACCCTAGACTTGGACAGTAACTGTGCCAAGGCTTCCTAGATCCCCAGGCTGCGGGCGAGGTGGTCTGTGGCCCTTGCCCCTCACCAGCTGTGACCCTCAGGGCTGACGGACCAGGGCTGGGGTGGGGAACTGGCTCCGCAGGTGCGACCTCTTTCCTTCCACACACAGCTGACCCTGGAGCAGCCGCAGGGGGATTCGATGGTCACCTGTGAGCAGGCCCAACTTCTGGCCAACCTGGCACGGCTCATCAAGGCCAAGAAGGCGCTGGATCTGGGTAGGAGTGTATGGCCGGGATTACTAGGGTGCAAGGTTTCCAGGCTCACCCTGGCCTGAGACACCGCCTGTCCCATTCGCAGGCACTTTCACGGGCTACTCTGCTCTGGCACTGGCTCTGGCGCTGCCCCCCGCTGGACGCGTGGTGACCTGCGAGGTAGACGCCGCAGGCCCGGAACTGGGGCGGCCCCTGTGGAGACAGGTGAGCGCCCCATATACCTGATGCCCCCATCGGGCTGCTGGACACCGGCCTCTGAGGTGTGCCCCGTCTTTGTGCAGGCTGAAGAAGAGCACAAGATCGACCTCCGGCTGAAGCCTGCCCTGGAGACGCTGGGTGAGCACTGTGCCAGGAAGGGCCTTGGCAGTTTCCCAAATGGGAGCACTGGGTGGCAAGATCACACAATGGCAGCACCCTGAAGGCGGGAAGTCACTGAGTGGTGGGCCCAGCCTGGTGCTATCTATCCATCAACCGGGCCGGCCTGGCAAGACCGCTGGGGACAATTGGGTTTAACTGTATCAGCCCCCCACCCCCAAACCCCCTCCGTTCTCCATCACCCCTGAAAGACGAACTCCTGGCTGCGGGAGAAGCCGGCCACTTCGACCTGGCGGTGGTGGACGCCGACAAGGAGAACTGTGCAGCCTACTACGAGCGGTGCCTCCAGCTGCTGCGACCTGGAGGCATCCTAGCCATTCTCAGGGTAAGGGCTGGGCGGGCCCTGCCTGGCCTTTCCCCTCAGCTCCTCCCCGCCCAGTAAACTTTCATAGGCTTCCCAGGCTTCCTCCTGGGGTCCCTGTCTCCAGCCAGCTGTGACCACCTCTTGTTCACCTTTCCCCCCCAAGCCCCCCCCCTCCACAGCCAGCTTGGCTCTGCCCATCACTGTGCCTGCTTGTCCACAGGTCCTGTGGCACGGAGAAGTGCTGCAGCCTCAGCAGGGGGACATCGAGGCCCAGTGTGTGCGCAATCTGAACGAGCGTGTCCTGCGGGACGCAAGAGTCCATATCAGTCTCCTGCCCCTGGGTGATGGCCTCACCTTAGCCTTCAAGATCTAGGGCTGACCCCCAAAGACAGACCTTGGGGGAAAGGGCTTGGGATCTGTCCACTCTGTTTTAAATAAAAGTCGGGTGTGGGACATTGTCTCCTGAACCTTCGTATGTGGGGCTGGGAGAGGAGACTCAAATGCAGCCATCTTTACCAAAAGGTAGCCTTGGACGCCACATTCATCCCTCCTGAGCTTTGTTACTTATGTTGATTCCAACACACAGCAGAGACCCTCCCACATCACCTCTAAGCAGGCCAAGGGCAGCATCTCTGCCTGGTAAGAGCCGCGGATGTTTGGGCTAGACTGTTTAGCCATTTCACCACGTTTATCCTTTTATCACAATTGATCATTGATCTGGCCGGGTTCAATGGGCAGACCCGTTCCTGAAATAGGCCTCCACTTCCCCCAAGCTCTGAAGGAGCCGTGGTGGCACAGTGGTCACACAACCTGCAAAGCCGGCAGCTTGAAGCCACCAGCCACCCCTTGGGAGAAAGTAGGACTTCCGACTGCTGTGAAGCTTGTTTCAGCCACGCACACGGGCAGTTAGTTCTACCCAGGCCTGTCGTCGCGGAGTTGGCAGTTGTTTGGTTTTGATTTGGTCTTGGGTCCTGAGTGTTGAATGCAGGGACTGTCTCCTACAATTGTATAAAGACGCAGGTGAAGGTGCTGTGTATTTAGTGAATGCAGCTAGGACTGACAAGGATACCAAATCTGGCAACAGGGAAGAGGCCCTATGTATGGGATTCAGGGTTGTCACGTGGGTACTGTAGGTTGTCCCAGTTATACTGGCAATTTGCCCAGGTTTTCACAACCATCAGCTCCACAGCCTCCCACTTCTAGTCAGTGGACACCTTTGAGAACCAGTCCATTTGGCCTACCCCATAAAGTTGACTTGAATCTATTTGGGGGCCTCTTCTGAACTGGAAGAAAAGTACAGGGCTGGGTGAGATCACTGGCCAGGGAGATGTGAAATAGTTATGTATAGGTACACGACCAAGTTCCACAGAGAATGAGAACAGGTTTAGGCTTTCTAACACTGCTGTCCAAGAAGGGAGGTACAGGTTTGACTGAGCACCTTTATGCCAGGTGCTTTTTTCTCTTTGTTCCTTACACCTTCACACAATCTTAATCTGTGTGTCACAAATGTATATAAATTCAAATTCTGGATTCTATGAAGACTGACGCAGGCAAAAGATTCAGCGTGAAACACAGGTCGGTTTGGAGTTATTTGGTTGGTTAGGCCTGAAAGGTCCCTGGATGGAACAATGCTTAGCTAACCTAAATCTTAGCGGTTGCAGTTGAAAGATGGGCCCAGCAGCACAGCAAAAAAGAAAAACCCCAAAAACTGGCAGCTGTTTCCAGTAAGTACACAGCCATGCACATCCTATGGAGCAGTCCTACTCTAAAACGCATGGACTCTCCAAGACTTAACAGACCACACATCAATCCATACATTTGGTTTGGGTTAGACTTTGATGGTAGGTGTACCTGGAAGTTTTAGGAGCAAAAAGCCTGGCTGTTTCACAATCCCCTAACTCCTGGGATATGTCTTCAATATGGACCATCCTAAAAGCAGGAAACTCACTTGTGCCACCTCACAACTAAAAGCTCTGCCGTCCAGGTGCAGTAGAGCCCTGCTCAGGTGTGAGCAACAGCAGACAGGGTCTCTGCACCACCCAGGCTTCCTCCCTGCCAGCACCAACAGCCGTGTGAGGGTCGCCCTGGGGAAAGGTGGAAAATAGGCTCCAGTTGGCATGAGGTCCTGAGGTGATGTTCACGCCCCAAGCCTCCAGTTTCATAAACTTCAAGTCTGCCTTCACGCCTAGCTAACAAACACCGTTTTCTCTCTTCCATTGCCTTTCATTAAGCTATGACTCAAATTCCAAACTTTTGTCACTAAGCCACCTCTGTGGTGGGCCTTGAGGAAAACCGTCTTCTGATTCACACATGTTCAGCCAGTTCCCCAGGACAAACACAGTGAGGCCAGAGGGGCATTTGGGCCCTCAGTTCGTATGTGTAGAAAACACGCTTGGCAGATGGATTCTGGGCTCCCACTTAATTCTAGCCCCAATCCAACAGCTCAATCGTCACCTTTATTAAGAGTTCAGTGAAGATAAGGATGCTACAGCAAAGTGTGGTGACGAAACCAGATTCCAGGCTATCACTTGGAACAGTGTCTGGGATCTTAAAGGCTTGTATTCAAACAATCAGCCATCTGAGGCGTTACATGCAAGAAGCAAACCAGCCTGTGTGACCCAATGATGACAGTAACAAAGCCCAATTAAGAAGGTAAAAATATCAGAGCCTAACAGTTAACACCCAATTTGTAGAAGGCTATGGAAAACAGTGGGAGCCCCAAATCCATCTGCAAGGTGGTCAAGTTAAGCCTCTGGCAGATCCCCTCTAGCCACAGGTACCTAAAAAGCTTTATTGTCAACTGGATTACAGTGGCTTAAACCATGTTGTACTCAGTCAGCTGACCTCTCTGTCTTGACCCAATCTGAACTTGCTCTAGGCTCAAATATTTTTCATTCCACACCAGAAATTTATCTGGCTTTTAAAATATTGCTGGTGGTCCTTTCTTGCTTACTCTTTATTCTTATCTTTATATTTTGTTGTTTGTTTCATTTCTTTTATTGTTTGTTAGGTTTCCCAGTTTATGAAGCATAGGAGTGGAAGCAGACAGACAATAACTGATGTGATGGGTTTATTAGGAGGGGGTTGGAACTGGGAGCAATCCATGAATGTTGGAGAGGGGAGGGAACATTAGAACTGATTGTGATGATGTATCGATAATTCTTTAAAGGGATGCAATAATGGAAGTGTATTAACATGTGAATATATCAAGACTAACAAAAGTTGACCTATAGTTACCATGGGTGAAGGAGGAAGAATTTTTGCTTAGGGGGCAATGAATTTATTTTAATGGTGGTAGAACAATTTGGAGAGGGATATCAATAAAGGTTGTACAACAAGAGTATGATCAATGACACTGAATTATACATGTTGAATTGGGGAAAAAAATGTTTGGGCTCTCCAAGCAATGCCTCATCAGATCCTTCTCCATCTGGAAATTTTGAGCACCTGTCACTTCTTAGGGGATGAATCCCAAAGTTTGCCACACTCTGCTGTTCTATCTCAGCATCAGACCATACAGAAGGTCTAATATTAGTCACGTTGCGCAAATCACCTCATTCTCTAACCTTTGATCATACCTTTGCAAATGATATTCTATCCAAAACTGTGCTCTTTCCTACTTCCCCACCTATCATCTAACATTTATTGCTATCACTCATGCCCAAGTCTTCACTCAGGTGAAAGCCAGTGACCAAAGAGTCTAAGGGATTGCCTCTGCTCTCGTATCCAGACCTAAGCATTTCGGTCCAATGTGGACCTTGAGGGAAATGAGCAGTGACTTCTCACTGGTGCTTATCTAATGGCCTCTCATGAGTACTGGCACTACCTATACCTTAAACTATTTCCACTAGTCCCATCTCACCACACCAGGGCCAAGTATATAGAATGTGTATATAACCCTTCAGCACCATGCCTTTATTTTCCTTCCTTGATTTACTCTCCAGGCCTTTCTACGGTTAACAAAGATATAATACTTACAAATTGAATGTAAAGGCATATATCCTCTTTTATTTTCAACTAAAAAGCTCATGGGATTTCCCTAGGGACATAGACTGACTGGCACAGACATTATGTAAAGAGCAAAATGCTCAACAGAAAATGAGTATTAACTAGATACCAGGGAGATTTGATCCTAGCTAGATCAAATGTTTAACTTGGCAAATATTTGGAGTCATAATTATGTACACTTGTTTTATTCATAATTTGTAAATGTTCTGGGATACCAAAAGTATTTCTAATGTCGAATTTAACACACACAAAAAATTTAACCTCTTCTTAAAACATCCACTGATCCATCCATTCAAAAGCAGTATCAAATGCCAAAAGGAACATAAAACAAACATGCACACAGCTGCACAGTTTTCATAAAGGTCTATTTCATTATTGGTGGAGAGCACATTTAACAGTTAAAGACATTTAAATTATGTATAGGTGACTGCATGACCGCAGCATTGGTAACTAGATAACCAATTGAACTAGAAACCAGCTAACAAGTAACGGTCCAAATGTTTAAAATACAGCTTTTAAATCATCTTTTGTTTTTTGATCACCTTTGGGTGGGGCGACGTGGGGTTGGGTGGTGGGGGGAAGCCTGCTGGTCACAATGGAAATATATTAAGGCCAAATCTTCTGATACCCATTCCCAGAGGTCTCTTCAGCTGGTTAAGCCTCCAACTCCAAGGCAAGCCCAAGTTTGTGGCCTCCAGCATTAATGCTCTTCCCGTCCACCAGAGCAGACAGTGTAAGCTTCACACCTGTCAAGAGAGAACAACCAAGCATGATGTGTCCAAAGCATTTCAAGCAAATCACTCCAGAACCAGCCTGTCACTTTTCCTCTCTTGGTGCAGTGATGAGGGGTCCTGGCTACCCGGGGAACCAAAAAGAAGTCCAAACGCCCAACTCGACTGGAAAGGTACTACCACCCAAGGGTAAAGTTCCAAGTCAGAGCATAAAACATAGTATACTCAAAATGATCTGGGAAAGACAGTAACCGTCTGGACTAAAAGAGACATAATCTAATGCCTAGTGTGTCTTGCTTGACTGGCTTTGGCAGAAAGTAAAAAAGACATTTTGGGGAGACTCTGAACACAAAGACGATGCATTAAACCAAACAAACCTACTGATAAGAGTCAATTCCAACTGAGACGTAAGTGGAGAGAGTTTAACTCCCCCGACTGCCACATCTTTCTTCAGGAGGGTGGCTGGTGAGTTAGAACCGCTGAACTTTTGGGTTAACAGTCAAGTGCTTTAGCCACTGCTAAAACCACCAGAAGATATTACTCATGCTAATTTCTTGAGATGTGACAATGGCATTGTGGTTATGTAGAACAATGTCTTAGTGTTTTCACGTTAGTTAGGGGCTGATGTATTGACATGACTAAACATGTATTTAAAGAATCTTTTTCTAAGTGGAAAATGAAAAGACAGTGTTAAAACAATTAAGACAAAATATTCGTGCCTAGTGAATATAGGGGAAAGGTGCATACAGATTCACTGTGCTAGTCTTTCAACTTTTCCTTAGGTTTCAATATAGCAAAAATAAAGTTTGGGGTGAGGGGGCAATTTTGAGGACGAAAAGAAATCCTATTTGCTTTTAAACCTTGCTGTTCAAAGGGTAGTCCAAATCAGTATTAGTAGAACGCATCACCTGGTGCTTTATTAGACAGCCAACTCACCTTAGAGCAGTGGTTCTCAACCTTCCTAATGCTGCAACCCTTTAATATAGTTCCTCATGTTGTGGTGACCCCCTCCAACCATAACATTATTTTCGTTGCTACTTCATAACTATAATTTTGTTACTGTTACGAATCGTAATGTAAATATCTGATATGCAGGATGTATTTTCATCGTTACAAAGTGAACATAATTGAACATAATTAAAGTAATGATTAATCACAAAACAATATGTAATTATATAACGTGAAATATTTATGTGTTTTCCAATGGTCTTAGGCAACCCCTGTGAAAGGGTCGTTCGACCCCCAAAGTGGTCTCGACCCACAGGTTGAGAACTGCAGCCTTAAACCCAATGGGTCATAAGCTACATTTTAATGAGATTCTCTAAGTGGCTCTTATTGCACACTATTGGTGAGTCTTGTGCACACTGATGTTTAAGTACTGCTCTAGAAAACTACTATGCTAAGTAAAATACTAAGTAGTGTAAAAGAGATCATAGAAACAAACCATTAAAACGAGTCAAACCTGGAGATACAGAAAACAAACAAAAGACAGTTCAGGTAAGAGTGAGGAAATTTGCCAAGTGGATATTAAATATTACGATGGAATGATTGTTAACTCTCAGGTGCAGGTATGGTAACAATATTATAATTAAGCAAAACATTCTTAGGAGACAGAGACTGAAGCATTACAAAGTGTCACTAATCGTCACTATAGGTACACCTTACTTCCAAATGGACCAGCAAAAGGATAGGGAAAATGATGTGGCAAAAGTAAATGGATGTTGACTGTACACTTTTTTCCAACACTCTGCATGTTTGAAAGGTTTGCAAAGTGAGTTGAGAGAAAATTTTTAAAGCATTAGCAACGTTGTAAATAAATCCCTACTTGTTCAATGGTACTCACCAGGCCTCAGAGTCTGAGTGTAGCCGACTCCAATTAAACTAGAGTTGTTGACTTTTGCCTATAATAAAATACAAAAATGACTTCAAGAAAAATTTTTGAGCAGACACAAATCCATGCACATTCCCCCTATCGTGAAATCTTAATATTTAATATTGCATATTAAGCCAAACAATAACCAGGAACCATTTAATTCTTATGCAATTCAACTCAAATTCAAGCTGACAATGGGAAACCAGAGTACTCTAGTTGTCCACAGCCACAACGTGTCCGTGATGCAGCACCAGGACCTAAGCACTCTCATAAAAATCATTCTTGCTGAGCCCTATCCAGCACCAAAAAAAAACCCATATTAATACATGGCCAATAGGAAGTCTCGGGCTTTCTAGCAGACTAGCATGCACCAGTCTGGAAGTGTGAGGAGTGAAGTTTCAATCTGTGGCTTAGCCACAGGTATCACTACTTTAAGGGTTCTTTCTAAAGCATCAAAACTGTGCATTTTAATTTCGAAAAAGACTTCCTCTAATTAAGATAAACCTAACATCTTTTACCTCACGTTCTCATGCCGCCAGGTCTTCCCTCTATCTAAACTGTCAATGAGAGATTTCAATTGGGTGTCCTCTACCAATCCAGATTCCTGCCTTACACAACCCTAACATTTTACGACTTTGTCATAGGCCTTAAGGGCTGAACGGAGCTATGGAAAGTGGGGGCACACTCCTACCTCTGTTCTCTACCACCACTGGCATTATTGAGCCACAACAGAGACCTGGGCTAGAAAGAAAGGTAGGTCACCCACAAAGGAGCCTAGCTTGCCTAACCAATTTTATGAGTTACTTCTCTAACTTCTTGCTCCTTAGCATTTTGAGTGCTATAGTTAAAATTGTTAACAAACCGGCATCTAGGATCAAATTTCTCGTCATGTGTTTCACCAAAACAGTTCAACCCAGAAAAAGAAATGATGCACTGTGTATTCACTTGCCATTAAAGCTCAATCTTCATGAGCCACCATGACCATGTGACTTTCCATCTAAAGAAAATTAACATCTCAGGCATTTGGATTCGTCTGGAATCTAAACAAATTCCAATTATTTAAGAGTAGGAGTTAACAATGAAACTAAGTTAAGAGGCCTTTAGAGGTATGATGCACTTCCAGGTGCTGCTGGATTGGGGCAACATCAGCACTAGCAGGTAGGAAATGCTAACTATGTTTCCAAACTATTTCCCAGGAGTCAGTAACACACAAGCCCCAAGCTGCCTGTGCATTTTAGACTGAACTGCTAACAGCTGAGAGCTGCGCCTTCCACTGGCACTGTATCAGTGATGGTGGCACCAGCATCAACAAGAACACTCTAATGATCACAGAGTAGGATGCTTGGAGAACCATGTGCCCTGTGAATCTCACGGTTTTGTTTCTGTGCAGTAAGTCAGAATGACTATGGGAATGCCAATGGGAAAAGTGTCTGCTTCTAGTTTGACTGAAAAAACATCAAGATAAAACAAGAATGTGTCTAAAACTTACCTGCCTAAATTATCAAAATATAATGTCCTCAGGAATGAAAAGAGCACTTTATGTAACTGAAATACCTCACGGGTGGTTTGACTTTCTTTCACTCACAATACAGATGGTACCTGTAAGCAACTGGCACACTGCTGGCTGAGCTGTCTGAAATTGGGGCCAGAACCCTCCTCTACTTCCTTGGACACTGCGCACTCCCTCCCACACTAACCCACTGTAACTGAAGGAAGAAATAACAGAAAGAACTTAAGAATAGGAACCATGTGGCCAACTATTGAGTGTGCTGGAGACAGGGGCTTCTGGCATCAAAACAGACTTAATTATGTGTGCCTTCCGTTCTTCAGAGCAATGCGCAATTTCAAAATAACCCAATTCAGAGACAGAAGTGCTATAATTGTGTGCAAGCCATAAAAAGTGCATATATTCACTGAGCACTAAAGTCAAGTATTCAAGAACCACTAGTGACCAAGAAGTTTTACTGGGACGAAGGACTTGTACTGCTACCCCACCCCCCACCCCAAAAAACCTCACTGCCGTAGCACCAATCCTGTCTCATAGCAACCCCATAGGACAAAGCAGAACTGGCCCTGTGAGTTTCCAAGACTATATAACTGCTTATGTCCAAAGCCCCATCTTTCTCCTGAGAAGAGGGTGGTGTTTCGAAGTGTTGACCTTGCAAACGGCAGCCCAAGCATGCCACCAGGGTTCCTGTTCAGTGATAAAAGCAAGCCCAAACCCACGCCAATTCCAATCCGTAGCAACCCAAGGGTTTCCAATGTTGTCAATTTTTACACAAAGATGCTGGTACATCCTTCTCCCATGGAGTGGCTCGGGTTCGAATCGCCCATTTCTCAGTTAGCAGCCAAGCTCTTAATCACTGTACATGAGATAGTCACCAACACAGGACTGAAATACAACAACATGGGCTCCAGTCCTGGCTCTACTCCTTCCTCTCCCTCTAACAGTGGGATAAATTCTTCCCCTCTCAGCTTAGTTTCTTCCAAGTGTAAAGTGACATGCCTAATTGATATTTCAGATAAACCTAAGGACATTTGTAAACCACAAAGACACAAAATAACAAGGTACTATTATTTCTAACAGAAAAAAACTGTTCAGGGTCCAAATCACTGGTTTCTCCTGAGCTCAGATAATCTAGGAGTCAGGGTTATTAGCAGTACTAATTAAGTAGTTTTGGGGGGTAAACAAACTCTATAGCCTGTCCTATAAGTCAAATTTCTAGTACTGCTTCACACAAAAAGCAGCATTCTGTATTTTTATTGAAATCTGTCTATAAATAGGACTATACGTTCATATTACAAATTCTCAACACATTTCATTATACCCAAAGATTAATTCCAATAAGCGAAAACCTCATTTGAAGCCCAAAGCAGTACTTACAGAAATGGAAGCCGTGGGATCCAACTGATATTTAGCAGCAATGCCAAAACGAGTACAGTTGGTACCTGATGTCCAAGCCAAGTTTACTGACGTGTCAAGATCTTCACAGACTTTTTGATAAATTGATCCTCCAAATTCTGTCCCATCATTGCTGTAAGATATTTTAAATTAGTATATCTAGAATTACCTTAACGAGCTTTCAGGATAGATTACAACTAAACATAAAGAAAACAAAATCCTCAATAAACAGAGAAAACAAGGCGAAGAGTTAGTTGAGCGACTGCAGCCCCAAGAGACATGCCAGTGGCCGTGGATCCCTACGGGCAGTCCCCACCAAGATGTTTCAACTGCGTAAAGTTGGGCTTTGTGATGGCTTGTGCCATGGGCATGGTGACCAGGGCACTTTTCGGCACTTTGCCTGTCTCAGGATCAGAATGCGGGGTCAGGAGCTGATGGGCAGCATTGGGAAAACCCATGATGCAGAGTCGGGGCACTTTTAGCACATTCATGGCCACTGGGATGGTATCCAATGCTACCTGGTGCAGTGGCTGCCCCATATCTCTATCTTCTCCCACCAATCATAGCCCATGTACTACAATAAAACAAAGTCTTTGAGTAAAAAATAACAGAGAAAAGATTGATGTTATCAAGGATTTCATCTTGCTTGGATCCACAATCAATACAAATGAAAGCAGCAGTCAAAGACACAAACAGCACACTGAATTAGGTAAATCTGATGCACGAGATCTCTTTAAAGTGCTGAAAAGCAGGGATGTGACTTTGCAGACTAAGGTGCACCTGACCCAACTAGGGTATTTTCGATGGTCTCAGATGCATGTTCGAGTTGGACACTGAATAAGAAGACCAAGGAAAAATCGATGCATTTGAACTGTCACAGTGTTGGCAAAGACTATGGCTTTGGTGCCAGGACTACCAAAAGAACAGGTTTGTCTTGGAAGAAATACAGTCAAAATGCTCCTTGGAGGGAAAGATGGCAAGAATTCATCTCACATACTTTAGACGTGAACAGGAGAGACCAATGCCTGGACATGGTGTTTAGTAGAGTGGAGAAGCAGTGAAAAAGACAAAGGTCCTTGATGAGGACTACACAGTGCAGGAACAACAGGTTCAAACCTAAGAATATGGTGGGGATGGCACAGGACGGGGCAGTTTTGTTTTGCTGCACATAAGATTGCTGTGGTAGTTCCATAATCTGTTGTCAGTTTGAGAGGATTAAAGAGTGAAAGGGTGGAGTTTAGTCTGTCACAGCTTGATGACCTCATTTGGAGGCACTAAGGAGATAAAAAGCTCGCTGGAGGCAGGACACAAACTCACTCCCTGGGAGACATGTCGTTGACAGTCTAGACACAAGGAGAGAAGCTGATGCAGCAGAGCCCAGAGCTGGAGGAGCCACTTGGGAGACTCACCCCAGCACTGAGATGCTTCCACTGACACTACATCCACAAGGCTTCCTACCCACTGGCCTGTGATCTTCCTGCATGGGCGTCCTTGCATGTGCTTCGTGAGTCTGAAGAGGACTTTACAGATTGGTATCGGACTTATGGGCTAATATCAGACTTATGGACTTGATCTGGACTGGGCTGGGATGTTTTCTCAATGTTCGATTGCTCTGATATATAAAGCTTTCATACACATGTGCGCGTTATGAATTTGTTTCTCTAGTCTATCTGGACTACCACAGTTGCTCTGAGTCTAAACTGACTCAATGGTACCTAAAACAATGATCCTCTATACAGAGTAAAACCACTGCCAAGGCTTTTGAGGCTGTGAATTTTTATGAGAGCAAAAAGCCTAATCTTTGTGCTACAGAACAATCAGTGTGTTTGAAACCTGTGATGCGGGCCCAATGCTTAACCCACTGCACCATCAGGGTCCCTTCCATCTAGAATAGACCGTGGAATCAATTCTACGGCATTAGATTGACATTGTACATCTGCACTGAAATAAAAACCACTCCTTGTATGGGTCTTTGCCATCAACAGGGATTGGGTCAAATAAGCCATGGCACACCCACTCAGTGGAATTAACGCAACTACTGAAAAATCCCAATCTGAAATACATGACATATGAAAATGACCAAAATGAATTTAGCGGGTAAAATGGGTTATAAAACAGTATTTTCAGTATTTATCTTATATACATATATACAAACCAACTCATTGTGACCCTGTAAGACAGCACCGACTGCCCCACTGGGTTTCCAAAGGCTATAATCTTGATGAGAACAGGCTACCTAGAATGGCTTGGCTAAGAGCCAAGTAATTCACCACTGTGCCACCAGGACCCCCTCCAGACATATCTGAGACAGAGGAAAAAGTTTGTAGAGAAGTTATATTATCTTTTAATTCCATTTTTCCACGAACTTTTTGAAGGCCTTGCAAATACAGAAAGGAAAAGCATTAACAAAGATTAAGTATCTGGGAGATAGGATTATAAGAAATTTTGAGCTTTGTACTTTTCTTATGTTTACCACGCATTATTCTTTTAAAGGGAAAAATCCTTTTAGAAGTCCTTCTATTATATATATATGTACATGCACTTAAAGAGCCCAGGTGGCAAAATGATTCTGTGCTCAGCTGCTAACCCAAAAGGTCCGTGGTTGAAAGGCACCACTACATTAGAGAAAGGTGAGGTAGTCTGCTTCCTACAGGGTTACCGCAAGTTGAAATTAACTTGTTGGCGCCAATTTTTTTCTTTTGGTGGATATGTGTACACACGCATTTGTGATCTCTATTTCTGATTTGAGTTAGGTAAAAATACATTTTGGACAATCCTATCAAATCAGCAACCCTCACATCAGAACTACTTAAGATAAAATAAATGCACAAGTAGCAATTTGGCAACATATTTGTCTCTTCTAAAAGTCCAAACCACATCAACCCTCATATGAAACATTTGCTCTCTTAGCACCAAAAATTAGACTAACATGTTTTACACCTAGACATATTTTTGTTAGAGGAAACACTTGTTATTAAATCAGTAAGAAATGACAAGGCCTCAAACACGATTCTCAAGTCCTCTATCACCGACTCCCAGGAAGAAAATACTTACACATTAGTGTGTAGCTGGAAGTCCCCAGTCCTGTAGCCCACTGCAAAGTTATTCCTTGTCAGCTTTGACTTGGCACTGTCAAAGGTCATCTGATAACCAGCAAGCCAGCCCTCATAGCCAAAGACAGCTGAACCATGGATTGCAGGTCCAGCAAAATCAAAGTCAACATCACAGCCAAGGTTTATACACTCCCTCTTGTAGGAAGACTTGATTTTACCACTTTTCTTTCTGGAAAAGAACAAAAGGCCTTAGAAGTGATATCAGGGGGAAAATATATATATATATTTATAAACCTTCTGCATAGAGAGCACATGGTTGATTCAATCTCCCTATAGAAGGCATTCTTGCTGCCTTCCTCCCGCTGCAGCAGCCATCCCCCTTCATCCCTTCCCCCAATGCAGGTATTAAGTTTCCTCACCTGTGAGCTCAGGGACTTTACTGTGGTTACCAGCCAGCCACCTTGTGAGCTATGTAAGTACTGAATATACATGTCTTATGGCGACCTACAAATATTTCAGAACAGAAAAGATTCTCTCTCTGTGTGTGGACCTAGCTGCTGAGATCACGGGCGTCCCGGAGATGAGCATGCTACCATGAAATGTGTCCTGACTCCTTTATTTGATCTTCTCTCCTACCTATCCCTCCTATTCTCTATGACTTTATTATGATCTTTATATATGATCGCTGTATGGTTGCGCCTATGAACCCCGTGATTGTTAGAGGCTGGTTTGCTCTAATAGTACAACCACAGGAAAAAAACAGTCTATGAACTCAAGACAAGGACATGCAGAGTAAATGAACATCTAAGAGGATGACTGCTTTGCAAATCTGGCAATCGGGCAGAAACCCTTAGAAATAACATTAATTTCACAAGGTACTGTCACGAGAGACAAACATTTGAAGGCAGGCTAATCATAACAACTGAAGCACTCCAAAAGCAGGAACAAAGATTTGCTACCCCAAAGATGTCAAGTTATTGAATGACAAATGTGTACCCCTCCCCTGGGAGACAGACAACAGAAAGTGGGTGAAAGGAGACATCAGACAGTGCAAGATATGACAAAATAATAATAATTTATAAATTATCAAGGGTTCATGAGGGAGGGGGCAGCGGAGAGGGAGGGGAAAAAAGGAGGAGCTGATGCCAGGGGCTTAAGTGGAGAGCGGATGTTTTGAGAATGATGAGGGCAATGAATGTACAAATGTGCTTTACACAATTGATGTATGTATGGATTGTGATAAGAGTTGTATGAGCCCCTAATAAAATGTACATGCTTACCCTGTGTTTGGTGAGAAGGTAGTATCAAATGTCAACTTTAAACCTTGGCAAATCTATTTTGTAAAAAAAAAAAATATATTTTTTTCAAATTTTTTTTCCTTTTTAACAAAGATACAATAATTTAAAAAGTACACAGATTTTCAAAGCATTACCTGGTCTTCAATTGCGATTTCTGTCCCAAGAGTGTTATCAGTGTTCCATTTTTCTGTGAAAGTCAGACCATACTCACACCATTTATATTTGGTCTCCAAAGTTCCAGTAACTTTACCAGTGTCTGTGTTAGATGAACCAGATGTTGAGAATTCCTATTAAGATAATAAATAATTTCATGAAATTTATCCTAAGGCTAGAAGAACCCTAACTTATAGAAACCACCACTAACTGAAACATCTGGTCATTTCACTAATGCCTCTTCTCCAGTTTAGTTTCCTAAACATTCATTCTCAAAGCATGAGAGAGTGACAAATCTTGCCTTCAACTCACTGCCATCTACCTACAGTTGACATTGCCAACAAACGAGTCCCAGGTTAATGTGAAGCTAACTCCCAAATGAGCAAACTGCACCCTTTTCTAATACCTAACTGGCAAAAAATCTAATCAACTGCTACTACCCTTAAAAGAAACATGCTATGGCAATTTTATTTAGCATATAAAAATCAATGGGGAAATAAAGAACAAATATTTTGTCACAGCATCCAATCTACCTGATAAATTACTATGGTTAATCACATACCCCATCATTCTAAATCAGAGTTTATAACTAATACTCTAATTTTAAAAAAAAACAAAAAAGCTTCCCTGTAAATTACAAAGCACACACAGTAGCAACTCCAATCATTAACAAAAGGTGTTTTTTTAAATGATTCGGTAATCCTAATACTCTGCTTTGGAGATAGTCTTTATCAACTTTCATTACATGCCCTTCACATTCTCAAACTTTACAATACAGACAAGCAAATAAACAAAACCACCCAGGGAAGGATTTACAGGAAATTTACTTTACATCTGAGTTTTAATATTGAAAATATAAACCTTTATCATATACAACAGATGTAGAAGAAATACCATACAATCTGAAATACTTTATATAATCTTTTGTTTATAATAGCAAAGATAAATGATTTGCCATTCTTTAATTGGACACTAGGACCCCTGGTGGTGTGGTGTGTACATGCTGGGCTGCTAACTGTAAGGCTGGCGGTTTGAAACTGCTAGCTGCTCCTCAAGAGAAAACAGTCTCAGAACTCACAGGGGCAGTTCCATCCTGGACTATATAGGGTTTGCTATGAGTTGGAATCAACTTGATGGCAATGAGTTTGGTTTTTTTTGGAAGTGTACACTAATTGAAAAAGCAAAAGGCTTCAGAAATTTAAAATTTGTTTCCAATAATCCCCAAATTTAATAAATCTTGCAGGATTCAGTATAACAGATAGGCAACTAAAATCTTACATGGTAAAATTCTAAAGCTGTCAGAAGAGTTCCAATTCACAATTCTCCTGCTAATGATAGCAACATGCTCTGGTCATTGGAAACACAAGTCAAAAAAAGATCCCTAATCTGAAATAGTAAGCACAGAGGAATGTTTCTGTCACCTACTATGATGCCTACAAAGTGAGGGAACATTACTTAGAAAATAGAGCACCTATGAGGGGGCTTTAAAAAAACTAATGAAAAATAGAATTTAAAGGTAATTTCCCCAGAAACTTTTTGAAGCCCCTTCATATTGTTCTACAGTTAAACAGCCCCAAGCCCTTAGGTCTTATATGTGATCTCCTGAGATTAGGTGCTTTCATGAATAAAACTTCAAGTCACAGATGGGTACTCAATACATAGTATATGAAAAAGAACTGGTTAACAACATTGAATATAAAATTAGGAGTCTTAATTCTGACTATCATGTACTAAAAGACTGAACTTTTGGGGTCTTGTTTCCCAGGTTGTAATTATAAAAAACCTACCACTTTAAAGATTAAAATGGAATACACCAAAGGAAAGCATCCATTAAAACATCATGTCCCCTACATTGTACATGCAAAAACGCTGAATGGTGTATACGAGGGAGTACCCAATAAAAAAATAGAATCCTCCCCCCCTCTCCCCGCAAAGCTATGTATTCAAATTTTTTTTACCAAACAACCTTATCACCTTCAAAGTACTCTCCATTATACTTAATACATCTGTCAAATCTGCAATTCCATTTTTGGAAACATTTTTCAAACTCATCCATTTGAATGGCTAATAGCCCCTCTCTCGCTTTTTTCCTTCACCTCTTCTACCTCATAAAATTGCTGTCTTTTCATGTCCCTCTCCATTCGCGGAAACAAAAAGAAGTCACACAGAGGGAGGTCAGGTGAGTAAGGTGCTTGGGACAAGACGGGCATGTTGCTTTCTGCCCAAAACAGGAGTACATCTGATATGGGTACGTGAACAAATGCATAATCATGGTGGCAAAATCAGTCCCATCTGTCACAAATCAGGCCTTTTGTTATTTTTGTAATCAATCATTTTATTGGGAGCTTTTATAGATATTATAAAAATCAACAATTCAGTTAGATAAAGCATAATCTTACAATAGCTACCACCATCAGTTTCAAAACATTTTCTTTCTTCTTGAACTCTTGGTATCAGCTCCCCTTTATCCCTTTCCCCTTCCACCCTACCCCGGAACCTATATATCTACTTAATTTTGCCATATCTTACACCCTCCAATGTATCCATTCACCTGCAATTCTGTTATCTGTTCCCCTTGAGTGGGGTTATATAGTGATCATTGCTATTAGCTCCTCCTTCTTGTTCTTCTCCCCCCTCCTTCCACTACTCTCAGGGAATCATTATTTCCATTACTGTTTCCCAAGGGTTATTTACTTGCCTTCACGCATCAAACTATCTTAATCATACAAATGAACATACACAGGTCTAACAAGATTGATGAGGTAAAACAAAGACCATAATAATAAGGAAATATTAAAGAACTAGCGGAAAGCAAAAAAAAAAAAGAACTAGTAGATAGTTATGTGTTTCATCAGTGCTATACCACTCCCTAGATTTATCATCCCTTCCATGTGGCCCTTCTGTGAGGTACTGTCTAATTTACTTACAGGTGGCTTTTGGGTCTCCCCGCTCCTTTGTGTCAATCTGATTGCTTGCTTTTGAACTTCTGATACCTGTTCCTGTCGACACCTCATCATGATCACACAGGCTGGTGCCCTTCTTCCATGTGGGCATTTGTCCTTCCCTATGAGATGGCCCTTGTTTAACTTCAAACCTAAGAACCCAGATGCTTCATCTTTTAATAGGAGGCCTTTTTGGTCACACACTTATGCTATTTTTTCAAAACCTCTGAACAGAAAGCTTGATTAACAGTCTGAACCGGTAGAACGAACTCCAAATGCACTACAAGTCCATGCACTACATTTTCGTCCATTCAGGAGGTTGATGGACATTCAGAAAGATGTTTGTCATCAATTGACATTTCCCCCTTTCTGAAACAAGAAAACCACTCATACACTTGAGTTTTTCCAATAGTGCTGTCCTTGTAAGCTGTATTCAACATGGCAAGTTTCTGTGACATTTCCCACCCCCAACCACCAAAGTAGGAAATTTCACAGCTGCACACTGTTCCCTTAAATTGGCCATCACTCACAAAAAAACAAGGATCAAGCAAAACCGTTTATGAAAAATTTCACTGTAACCAGAGAGAACCTTCCCAGGCGACACCACTGGGTGCACTAACGTTGCTCGATGCTTGCCAAGTAGGAAAAAATGTGTACTATAAAAGCTTTGTCCAGTGGAGTTTTATGGGGTTTTTTTTGGGGGGTACCCCCTCATATTTTGCTATGTAAATTCTCTCAATACCATCGAAAATAAATAAAAAGTAAGAGAGATATAGAAACCTGCACCTTAGTGCGGAGTGGAGATCCAAAGCCCATTAGTAGGCCACTGGAGATCCCCTTGCAGAGG